GATGATGATGATGATGATGATTGAATTAATCAAACACAAATTTTAGTGTGGCTTTAGTAATATAATGCGTTAGAACTTAAAAACGTTTTCATTAATCTTCCTGCTCAAATCATATACATATCATTGCTTTAGAATGATTTATTAACAGGCTAAACCATCCTACAAAATATGGATATCTTGCCAGATAAACACATTAAGAGATACATCAATTAATACCAACATATTCAAAACATATTCCAATAATAGATACTTTATTCTTTTTTGACTTGTGATGTAATTGAATTTTAGATGTTATATTTGAAATGTATACACCTAGTAATAATAATAAAAAGCACAATGAATTAAACTGAAACCTTTGATTATAAAATGAACACTTTTGTAAGTCTATCTGTATATACGCCTTCATATATATACATATTCTTATATATATATATTGGTCGGGAAAAAAAAAACTTGGGACTGCAATGAATGCCGCGTGCCAAGAACATTTTCTCATGTGCCACCCTGGTCTATCCTTTTGGGTTGTAAGTTTCTAAGAGGAAATGATATTAAATATGTAAAAATGAGTAATGAAATCTATTGTGATCCCTAATTCATACCATTGATAATGTTACACCAATTTGAAGTTAAATTTATGTCTCTAAATTTTTTAGATCAAACTGAAAATCACAAAGAGTTTTTCTATTTTGTACAATTTGTCAATTTTAGACTTATGCAATAAAAATTCAATACTTAATTTTATGTTAAATTCTCATTTTCTTCCACATTCTCCTAGGATTTTTCTTAACTTTATTTTTAAAAAAATTTATTTTATGTATGACCTTAAAGAACTAATGAAATCTAAACATGTTATGAAATCTACAGAACTGAAAGTGTTGGTTTAGTTCCAATAACAGCAATAATTTATTGAAGTTTAATTTGTAGTGAATATGTAAAGTAATCTAAATGTAATCTTGTAGACCACAGTTATGTAAAAGACACTTTCCTGGTGCTGTCGTTGGTAGTGGCTGTTGGTGGCTGTTGGTTTGCTTTTGTTCAACATAACTACTCCAAGAATCATCTTCAAAAGATGATGAATGACATGGAAAGTTTACAGAAAGCTGAAAATGCTCTTCTGAGGCTACAAGAAGAGTAAGTTTGAATCCATAAAACAAAAAATTTTGTTTAGTAACAATATGAAAGTTTTATCATCAGATTTGAAAACGTTCAATATAGTTTCACCTGGCATGAATCACTTTTATGTAGGATAACTTCATCTACTATCAGTATATTGTTTTAAACATCTACTACTTAAGAATCTGTGTTTTTTTCCTCCTATTAATTTCAACTAAAGCAGTTACTTAGATAAAGTTAAGCTGCAATGCTAATAGACAGTGCTCCTGATAACAAGTTGGTTTGAAAGTATCTTTAATTTTACAAAAAGTTATTTCCATATTACCTCTTGGAGTTGTTATTGTTGTTTTGTAAAATTATTACATCCTGCAAGATTCATTAATAATGACCAAGCACTCTTTATAGCTAAATATAATTGGATAATGAAATGCTTCATTGAAGCAAATAATTATCAGTTTCTGAAGTAAGTTGAATTAAAAACAAATAAATGAATAATTAGAAATTATAAGCTAATCTAATTTGGAATGGGTGAATCTCCTACGGACTGACCTTGCTTGTTTCTGAAATGGAAGACATTTGTGACAACATACTATGATATACACTAAGATCATGTATCTTAACAGGAATGACTGTTAATTAAGAAACTGTATGATGTATTTTATATCTAGTTGTAAGCTAAGTCCTACTTTAAAAAAAAATCAAAACAAGTCAATAACTGCTAAATGTGCCAAGTAAACTGTTAGTGTTGTGACTAGTATAATTGTTTTTAGAGAGACTGAGATGGAGCTAAATGATCATTGGAGAGATCATACTCTTCAGTCATCAAATGTTTATGAGCATGTTGAAATATATCATTGATTTCATTTTGTAAACAAGATGATTGAAAGGAGCAATTTTCATGTATTTTTACAAATCCTTAATAAAATTCCTAAAGTTTCACTCAAAAATCATTGTTTTTATAAATTTTTAATAAATTACATAATGTTTGGTAAAAGTGATAAAATGTCACTTGCACTTCATTTTATTTTAACACTGTAAATTTTAGTTCATTATTTGTTGGATTGAAAATTTAAGATTTTTGTTTAAACATCTTTACTTATTGTGTGATGACAAAAGATTTAAGTAAATACTAAGTTACACAGAAATTTTTAGATCTAATGTCTCAGATATTTCAAATTTTACTGTTTCAGTCTGGATAAAGCACGCCAAGAACAGGAAATTGTTGTTATTGAAAAGGAAAACCTTGAAAAAAGATTACAAGATGAGATTAGTACTACAAAGGTAGGTAATGAATTCAAGTTTTAGATAGGCCTAATATTTGTGATACAAATCTTGCTAGACTGTAGCTTTTACTTTTATATTTTACACATTTTTCTTAGCTATTCTATTTCCATTTTTGAATCAGAGGTATGTAAATACTCAACAAAAGGTTACATTTGCTTTACAAGTGTAACCATTGTTTGGGTTTTTACTGTTTAATATAAATATGAAAAACAAATCCTAAGAATATGAAAAATAAGCAGAGTTATTTTTATTTTAATTATGATACCTCTATTCTAATAATTATTTATTTTTGATGAAATGTTAAAATTTTTTATCTGACTTTTTGTTTTGCAGTAGTGTTCTTTCATCTTCATCTGAGACTTAATTCATGCATTAAATATTATTATTACAAAATACAATCATGCAATGTTTTATTTTTTATGAATGAAACACAACTTTTCTTTCTTTTTCTGGAATAACAGAATAAAAATATTTTGTTTCATTAGAAACAAGATGATAATGGCAGTAATGAGGGTATCAACAGAATGCAACAATTAGAAGAAGAACTTGAGCAGGCACGAGCAGAGCTAGAGTGGATAAAGAAAGCCACAGAATTAAGAGCCTGGGTTCCTCCTCCAGCACTCCAAAACTGGCTACAACTAACACATGAGGTTGAACTAAAACATTATAATGCCAAGAAAACTGCAGCTGAACAACAACTTTCTGCTGCTAAAGAAGGGGTAATGTTTCCCAATTTTAACAAACTAGCTTGTTATCAGTAATTAAAACTCGTTGATGAAAATTGATAAAATATTTTAACTATTAATCTTTTATTTATGGCTTATTCACATCAATCAACATATTAAGCTTTGTTTTGTTAGTACACTTCTGTAATCACTTAATGAATGAATTCTGCTACTAAATATATAAAAAAAGAAAGGTCTCCTGGTGGGTCAGTGGTAAGTTTAGGACTTACGACACTAAAATCCAGGGTTCCTTTCCCCACTGTGGACAGGGTGCAGGCAGCCCATTGTGCAGCTTTGTGCTAAAAAAGTTAACAACAATGAATGTACAAAAACATTTCTTATTTTAATATTTTGACTGTTGTTAGCATACATATAGCAGTGATTCAATAAATAGATTATTGTTTATTTATTTTAAAAAATTAGAAAGTAACAGAAAATCGAAATTATATCTACCATTTATACATCTCTATCTGATCTTGTATTTGCTGCATCAAATAAGCTTTCTTTTTTATTTGGTATTTGGATTATTAAAACTTGAGTGATTTATTTCCTCATTAGTCAGCCAAAGCCTATTATAAAGCTGTAACATTTAAATTGTTAACAACGACAAACATGTATGGTAGTTTTGTGAAAGCAGTTTATTAATTTTTCCTTTTAATTTGAGAGATGCACTCACTTTACTAAGTTTGAAATTAAGGATGGAATTGAATGTTCAATTACATTCTGATACAAACTTAATGAACTTAAAGATTTAAAAATTTTAGTTTACACACACGTATCATTAATACTATTTATCAGCTCTTTCATTGTGACATAGAATAACTAGATTTTAGCTTTGTGCCCCTTTTATCTCTCACCAGTGTGAAAAATTGAGACGGAAAAGATCAACTTTTATGGGAACATTTAGGATTGCTCATGGAAGTTCCATTGATGACGTAGATAGCAAGATTCTTCAAGCAAAGTAAGTTTGTGTTAACAGCCTTATCAATGGAGTGTTTAATAAGTCACTTAAAGTCATGGTAACATTGTGGTTATATTGATGCTTGGTAAATCAATATACAAGTTTACTGTGTGATGCAGATGATATTATATATGTTCATACTAGCTATTTTATATCGGTATTTATTGAATCATTAATTAAATTTATATTAAATTATTTATTGTTATTATATAATGCTTGTTAAATCTTTTACTAATTTTGTATTTTATTGTTTGATATTATTAATGTTTCTTAAATTGTTGTAATTCATACTAAATTCTCTTGTGCTCTAAATATTTAAATAAATCATGAATGCAATTCATATCAAACTGTCTGGTGCTATTAATGTTGTTAAAATCGTTATTATAACTTGTAATATCTGGTGTTATTAATGTCTTATTAAATGCCACTAATATGAAAAATCATTTTTTAGTTTTCTGATTTTTTGCCTAGATCAGCTCTTTCTGAAGTAACTCAAGACCTTCAGGAACGAATTCACCGTTGGAAACAAATTGAACTCCTTTGTAACTTTTCTGTTGTATGTAACCCAGGACTAAGACATCTGGAAGCATTGTTGTTAGGAGGAACACCCAGTAACTCTTCAGGTAGTTATTTGTCTTTGTTTTGTTATCTTTAGATTTGTAGCAAGGACAAATTATATTTTTACTATTAGTATTTCTATAGAAACAATGATTTTAGAATAGAAGTCATTTTGTACATAATCATAAAGCTAATACTTGAGATATTTTGTCCTGTTTATGTTCTCTGTGTTTTGTTTTTGTAAAGTTCTTCTCTAAAACTTGCACTTAGGTTAACTTTTAGATAAAATGTCACATTTTATTTTCAGGTATTTCAATGAAAAGTATGTGTATAACACCTTCTGTCCTTTTTTGATTTATTTAATCCATGTAGGGGTTGCATGCTAGAGAGGACTTTATATTTTACCCTTTCAAATATAACTCATTATGTATCTATCACCAAAGGATTTTGTTGAATCTAGTTTACACACAGTAGGAGTTACTAGATATCATCTGTTAAAAGTATTTTATAATAAAAATTTTGTATGTTTTATGTAAGTGTTACTTGAGTGTGTCACTTTCTATAATTTTTAGTTAAAATCTGGCAAACTATCATCTAAAGTAATATGTTTCTGTGTGTAGAAGGTAGTCTACCACGTGGTAGCAGTGAAGCAATGCTGTTAGAAGACAATAACACACCTGTATATGGTAATGCTGGACTTGGTGCAGGTTAGTGTACTGATGAGCTGAACTTTTGCACAATTCTGTAATGAAAGATACACATACAAACAAAAGAGAATTGAAACAAACATTTGAGTTATGTTATAATTCATATAACAGTTTGGCTACTGCCCTTCATCAGATTTCACTACAGAGCTTAAGTGTATTCCAGAATAGAAAATAAATGTTCTATTAAACAACATGTACAGTTTCTGGGCACAAAGTTGTCAGTATTCAGGAATAATTATAACAATACTAAGCAACATCAACAGTGTACTAGAAAGGTGAATAATGTGAACTATATATATATACACACACACACACACACACATACATACACTAGGTTACTGCCTGTCATATGACTGTAAATGCTCAATATTTTTACTTCTGAAAATTAAATCTAAATAAATGTTTTATGAACATATTTTCTAAAATTTCATAATATTATAGTAACAATATATCTATAAAGAATATTTATCCTTTTTCCAGTATTTCACAAAAACATTTTTCGTGTTTATTTCGTCATCACCTGCAAGTGGTCCTTGATTAGAATTTTGATTTATGTTTAGATTATGTTCAAATCTTTTTCTTGATTAAGCCAAATGGATTGAACCATATGAAAAAACTGGTTCTAAAAAAATGTTCCCACATTGTCAAATGTCTGACCCTGCAATTAATTGTAATTGCAAAGGCAATGAATTTTATGATAAAGGGTAAATTCACAAAGGTATAATTTTTCAGAAAAAATGTTTCTCATTTTTTTAACTAAATGTTTAAAAATCTCTTCCCTAAGGAAATAAACATCAAAAATAATTATTTTTTTTATTGTAGCACCATCTTTTGGGTTGAAAAGATATTTAAGTTGTTTTTGACACATACAAACATGTTTATTGTGCAACATGTTATTATCTCTGATTTAGTCTACAAATGTGTTCGTGCTTGTCAAAATACTTAAAGAGCTTGTTTTAAATATAATAATAAAAAACAACATAAAATTCACACTCGACTGGCATTTGAACTTGAGACTTCTACCTAAGAACTGATTTAACTGCATAGTTGATACTTGTAAGTGAATAATTTAAAAGGTATTATTTATTTGTTAATAAATGCTACTCTGATTAAGTTAGAGTGAAATGGTCTGTGTGCAATAATATATTAAAGAAAATTGCCTTCAGGCTTCCTGAACAGTTGTGGATGCCACATTCTTAATAATAGTAAATTTTCTGTTGTTAATAATATTAATATTAATAAATTCATCATACTTAACAAAAACAAAAAATACTTGAAGAAACCTAATAACCCAATTTTGATCAAAAGGTGGATCTTCCTACAATAAGAATGAAACGAGTGTGCTCCATCAGGAAGCATTAAAACCTTTACTTAACTTTAAATATCTGTAAAAAACACTGTTGTAAACTGCATAAGAGTTCTTGTAATGAATTTATTGTTATATTTTTTATGTTCTTCAAAAAATCGTTTCTTTCACATAGGTTCTGTCCTCGCAGGCCCCATTCAACCATTTCCACAACCTTTGTTTGGATATAATACTCAAAAAGATAGTGCATTTACTGAAGCAAAATCTACAGATCTTAGCAAATCCCCCTCTTACTCCTTGTCTTTAGCAGTACCCACTACATCAGCCATTGATGATTCTGATGCTGCACTGCATCAGCAAGATTCTCCATCGGAGCAAGAAGATGAAAAGAACTATGAAGAAGATGTTGAATCATTAGACAGTAATGTTGCTCTTTCTACTGGCTCTGGTGAATATCGAAAACCTAACTTTATTATCGGAGATAGGTAAGAGTGAAAATCTTTTAGAGTAAATTATTATAAATATTTTTTTGTATTTAAATTTTATTTCATTGCCTTACCTAAAATAGATTATGATGAAATATATGCACCTCTTTCTAATACATTATCAGTTCTGTTTTTTGATAGTTATGATTGTAATTTGTTAAAGAAAGCAGATTCATGCAACCATCTGAAAAAAGAAATACAGAATTTTATATTATTCATGTACTTTGTTTTAAACTATTTATATCTCCTGTTACTTTGAATTTAACTGAAATGAAAAATAGTTTGTTTTGTACTTAATTAGTACATGGTTTTGATAAAAGATTTTTTTAAGTTAGGTATATTAGTTTTTAAAGTTCTTGTGAAAGCAATGCAGTTATTTTATCGAAAATTTTCCCTTAAAATTTTATTTTTATTTTGATCTTTTATATGTAGTTCACAGGATATTAAGTTCTCTTCAACTCCAGTAAAGAAGTTGCCAAGGAGGATGGTGAAGAGTGCCAGTCATGATGCTCATTTTCTTTCTTCCCTTGAGGCTTCTCAAAGTTTGCATAGACACACTGTCTCAGAATCTGGCATTAAAGAACGTGAATATAATACGCTTCCTTCAAATTTCATGCCACATAATACAAGTGATCTAACCAATCAAGGTTCTCTTGGCAGACGAAAAAAATCTGGAGCATTGAAAACTATCTTTAAAAGAAATATAACAAATACTGTCACAGCAGATCAAGAAAACTCCACAGATTCTAATTCAGTTACTGGAGAATGTGAGTTGAAAAGGAGAAGAAAGAAGTCCTTTCTAACTGAACTAATCAAGAAGAAATCAAAAGCTTTGTAATTAATGCCACATTTCCTAGACTTTATTGCTTGATAAAATCTCTCTAGGCTGGAGAAAAAAACAAACAATTCCTGTACTGTACCCTTCAAATATATCCATGGACATCCAAAATTTCAGAGAACTTTACCTAGAAATCAGAAACAATTTTTGTTTTAAGTAATGTTATAAACAATATACTAATGTTTCTCAGTGATAGTTTTCTACTCTTATTCACTCATTATTGGTGCGTGTGAAAGTGAAAAGTTAATTACTATGAGTAATGAGGCTTTTTTTTATATATATATGTTTTTATCAATGGTGAAACTGAAATTAAGACATAAATATTATAGATTATTATCATTTGAACTGTTGGTTTGTGGAAGGCTTTTATTTTCCAGTTTATTTTTGTGATTTGTCTAAAGTACAGTTATAGAAGAAGATGAGAAGTTAAGAGAATTTTGGTTACTTATTTTGTCTTGGGCTCTTCTGACATAACCTACAGAATGATTTTATAAAAATATATTATTTTTCACATTTATAGGGCTCATTCCTTATTTTTTCTTGTAAAATAATTTTTATATGGTTGCATGGAATTCAATAAATTTTGATATTTGTATGTATGTGATGAGCTTCGTATTTTGGAGAAGTTGATTATATCTGTCAAACATAATGCACTTGCATTCTATTTAATTATTGCTGATCTTTTTTTTTATTAAGTATAATTTCAGTACTTTATTTTGTATCAGGAATCAATTTATCAATATAATATTGTTTATTTTTTGTCTGTTATAGAATGCAACTTTAAAAATGTCATATCTGATTAGAGGCAAGAAACTTAGCTAATGTAAAACAAGCAGAACTTTATGACTGGTACGTAATTTAATAAGTTAAAATAATGCGAATTAAATAATTGCAATACACTTTTTTCGGAAATTAACATTCAAGCACATGATTGATAGTAAAAATATGGAAGTGTCACTAAAACTTCCACTAACCAATGTTTTCATGTAAGGAAATAAAACTACGGCAATACCCATGTAAAATCTTTTAAATGCTAAACTAACTAGTCAAGGGTTAATTTTAAAGGGTTTAATTAATTGTTTCTCATTTGGGAATTTTCCTGAATGCACGTACAAATGTCTAATAATAAATATCCTTCAAACTGATACTTCAGGAATTGTCTAGTGTTCCTGCAAGCAACATCCAGTGTTCCAACATGAAATACACAGCAGTATGTCTGTGGACTTACAATGCTAGAATCTGGGTTTCAATACCTGTGGTGGGCAGAGCACAGATAGCCCATTGTGTAGCTTTGTGCTTAATTACAAACAAACAAACCAACATGAAACAAATAAAAAGTTTTCACCCAAATAATCTTTCCTACCAGGTATAAGTAATACCGTTTGGAAATTTACTATAAGTTGTAAATATAATTAATGGCTCTCATCGCTAGAGATTAGAAATAAAATTAAAGGTTATAATAAAGTTTTTAACTAATGGCAAATTTGCCTGAAAGAACGAGTTTCAAGGTACCCTGCAACTCATTAAAGCAGATATGATAGAATAATGATATTTAAAATTAAAAACAGGAACAATGTTTGAAATTATAGTCTCATTGTTGATTTAAATATTAAAATCTTTACCGTTAAAACTTGTGTACTACTTGAGAAATGATCCCACAAGTGATCGAAACGTCATACCTGTTCTAAAAACAAATCCCCCTTACTGTAAAAGCTGTAACTTGTAACAAAATTATGTTTGAAATGTACAATAAAAACTTTACTTGGTTGAAAGGCAACATTAAAAGACTACGTGTTTCAGTAGCTTTATGCTGCCATCATCAGAAGTAAAAACACATAACAAGCACATCACTTTATAAGGACAAGGTTTAACTCATTGTACAATTTAAAGTTAACATGAATATTATACATAAGAAATCAATATTTATTTCCAAAGCTATGCATTAGCATAAGCTAACCTTTCATCTCTATTTAGCAAAGAATTATTTCATGTACAACACGAATTTTCTGTTGATTCTCTGATATTCAATTCACTTTGAGTATTAGGCTCATTTGAGAATTATTGTTTCATGCCATTATATCAAATGTCTTGTTTTAACAGTGTGTTCAGCAAGTGGATAAATTAGCATATCTTTATTACTTACGTGACCTTTATGTTCATCGAATTAATAGTTTAAGTTCTGTTTAGTTTGAACAGTAGTGCAGTGTGAAAGACTGACACGCTCTTTAACTGTTCAGTGATGCGCATGCATCTGTATTTGTGGCAATTATGAAAGACATTTTAAATCTTGAGACCCTGGACACAAAGAACATTGCCCCCCCCCCTCCCATTAAGTGCACGAAGAAATAGTCTCCTGTAAAATAAATGGTTATGTTAATAAAAATTTTAAATCTAATTCTTGTGTATAATGACAAAAATAATTTATGATCGTTACAGTACACTAACTTAATCTAGTTTACACAGAAACAAACAGTATTTGCTGCGTCATAAATGTTTGAAATTTAAAGAAATCTCTTACCAAAGGTGAAAATCATCAATAATAATGTATTGTAGCACTATCTATTGTGGTTGAAAAAATGTTTAAGTTGTTTTTAACAGCAAAAGTCACTCGTGTTTATTATGTAATATATATATATATTGTTTACGTCTCCGTGTGTTAATTA